AGGTTGAAGACCCCGCAGATGTTGAATCTGTAAAAAGTGCTGTTAGTAGTAGTTCGGGGATCAAAGAGGACAAGCCTGCCCAAAGTACTGTTAAAAATGAAGTTGGAACATCAAAAGGAGGAAGTGTTGCAAGAATAAGTCCTGCTGCAAAGTTGTTAATTGCGGAACATGGTCTGGATGCATCATCATTGAAGGCATCGGGTTCTCATGGCACATTGTTGAAAGGGGATGTTCTGGCTGCCATTAAATCAGGGAAAGGCTCATCAGAAGTTTCTTTGTCCATAGAGAAAAGATCTCCTGAGGTCCGTTCACAGGCTTCTTCCACGGCTTCATCAGAATCAAAATCTTCAGTAAAGCAATCTGATGCTTTTGAAGATTTACCTAATAGTCAAATTCGCAAGGTACGAACTTCCGTATCTTCTTTGTAAAGCACAATTCTTTTTTAGCATAAGGACTGATTTTCCATTGGCTTTGGCATTCAATACTGAGACCAATAAAAAATTTGGTTTTTCAAAAAAAGAAAAAATGACGAAACCATTTCTTGAAATGAGTGTTTGCGATTTTGAATCAGTTCAATGAGATTAAGAGGAATGCATATGGTTTCTGGATCTTGTATATTTTCTAGCTTCTTTATGGAATTGGTCGCCTAAATATATTTTGTAGTTACTCTTTCCCTTTAGTGGCCTATGCCTATTGAAGTATGTCCTTTTAATCCAAATTGTTTTAATTTCGGAGGATGTATTCTTTTCTCCCACTTGTTCTCGTCTTTATTATCTCTAGTTTTCTAGTTGAGAAAAACTAAAGTATTACCTTCTAACTTTACTTGCTTGCACAATGATGCAAAAGCTCGCTTTCAATGTATCTCAAGGGGTGCACTATAGGTTAACACTGGAGTGTGAACTGAAATAATGTGGTACACCAGCTCTAGTATACATTAGTATACACTGGTTGCAAGATGTATAAAAACCTTACTATACAGTTGAAGTTCTATGCATGAAGTAATTGGTTGATCTAGTAGTAAAAGCATGTCATTTTTACTGCTTCATTTCCCTCTCCTACTTTTGGCTTAAAAGTTATTATAATATCCTATAAAATTGTAGTTACAATATGGTTTTTGCAGGTTATCGCTAAAAGATTATTGGAATCAAAACAAAATACGCCGCATCTATATTTGTCCACAGGTGCTTGGACTTTGGCACTACAGTTGCAAATTTAGATTCAATTCATCCACTTCTAACGTACTTATCTCTTTTTATCAGATGTCATATTGGATCCTCTTCTTTCACTTAGAAAAGATCTTAAAGGTTAGAGACATAAGCTATTGCTTGGTTTAATTGGTTTCTTTGGCTTACTTCTTCAGCAACGTTATCCATTGTGCATTATTTGTATTTCCACAGAGAAACATGATGTCAAAGTTTCCGTGAATGATATTGTCATCAAAGCCGTAGCAGTTGCTCTACGAAATGTGCCTGGAGCTAATGGTACATACAACTCATTTTTGCGAAAGTATTACTGGGTGGCAAATTTTAACTGGCAGTAGAGTTGACTATGAGAGTATAGTTTTAATTTATTTCTAATTGTACAATCTCAAAAAATTTTGTTGATTGTTGGGAACTTGGAAAGGCCGTTTGCTTGTTTGGATCAAAAAATTGATTAGAAAACTTGACCCGCAAAAAAATGTTGTTGACAATACTTTTTGACTCAAAACAAAGGCAGTGACAAACTTGTCGACTCAAAACAAAGTGACACAAACTTCACTTAAAACAAATGAATAATGAAACAGGCACCATTGTAAGTGCTTTTGCAATTAGTTTCTGTCCCGAAACTGTAGAACTGTTCAAAACTGAAATGTTTATTGCATCACAGCTTATTGGGACAACACGAAAGGAGAAGTTGTCTTCTGTGACTCTGTTGACATATCGATTGCAGTAGCTACTGAGAAGGTATATACATATTCTTTTTTCCAACATTAATCATTTAAGATCGTTAGACATGCTGATGACTAAATATTTAAATGCAACAGGGCTTAATGACTCCAATTGTGAGGAATGCCGATCAGAAGACCTTATCGGCTATTTCTTCAGAGGTACTATCTTTATTTGAGTACTTGAAGAGGGTTGCTTCTTCTATTTCTTCCTCGTTGAGGTTGAGTTTTACTATTTAAGATATGACCCCTTGGAGGCATGCTTATATATTGTTGTGATACGTTCTTCAATATGATCATTATTTTGAGTTTTTAATTTGAAATTATAAAATAGTGAGAGCACAACAAAAGAACAGTTCGTTTAAATCTCTGTCTGGACTCAAATCTACTCCACTTGTACCTATGTCAACAGAACTAGGTTATTTTTAGTAATTTTATTTATGAAAATTGCGTATTCCGTACAAATATAACATTAGTTCCACTTCTTTTTTTTTTGTTTCTTTGTAATCATGCATCTGATTTAGGTCAAGGAGTTGGCTGAAAAGGCTCGTACAGGAAAGCTCAAACCAGATGAATTCCAAGGAGGCACTTTCAGGTGATTGTGCATATCAGCTGTAGTACATACACCGATTAGCATGATAGATAATATTGATATCCAAAACTAAGGAATATAAACATATTGTGCTAAAATATGTGTTGTGAGTGTATAGCTCTCATCTAATACAGCTACTACTACAAAACCCTTCTCACTATCAGATGTATCCATAAATTACCTATTAATCTATTGCTCAAAGATTTTGTTGGAAGCATCCATGATCAACTTACATTTTTGTCCTTTCTGCAGCATTTCAAATCTAGGGATGTTCCCAGTGGATCATTTTTGTGCTATAATTAATCCTCCACAGGTTCTTTTCCGTTCATTCTCTCTCTCTCTCTGCACTTAGGATCACTGTACACTTATTGACCACTGCATGTAGTACGGAATTTACAAGTGTAGAGATGGTATACTTCCGAAGGATTATAAAGATAGGTTGATATATTGAAACTGATGCTCCTTTTCATTCTCTTTCCTTCTCCGTTCCTGTAGTTTCAAACGGTAGGTTTGAATGTTTATATCTTTCTTTTGTCAGGTTCCTCAAATGAATTCATTCTGAATTTGAAAATCCATTGTTTCACATTTCCTGAATATGTTCTCGTAGGTTCATGTTTCTGAAGTTTTATCTTATTAAGATCACTATTTAATGAATACATACTAGGCCACATATTGGTTCTCGCTATTAGACCAAAGTCAGGACATCTGAAAGCAGCGCTAAAGAAATTATTTAAATGAATCAACTAAATTTACTAGTTATATTCTTTCATCTATGTTGATTTAGTAAGAGCAGCTTCAAATTTTCGTTTGTTTCAGTATGTGTTTCCCATTTTGTATGTGGAAAACCATTCTATTTTTCCCTGGGGATGGATTGCTTAACTCTGTAGTAAAGTATCATTTATTTCCGGCATTAAGTTAGGTCTCTTGCAGAAGAATGTTAGGAATTTGATAAATAGCTAAATTCTGTATGTCCTTATAAATTTGTTTTCATGTCTTTTAGGCTGGAATTCTTGCTGTAGGCAGAGGTAACAAAGTTGTTGAGCCAGTAATTGTTGATGGTACAAAACTTCTCCCTTTTTTATCTTTTGAGCCATGAAGGTGCTTCAAATAAAAGCTTAGTAATTTTGGTTATACCTTTATCCCAGGAATTGAGAGACCTGTGGTAGTCAATAAAATGAATCTGACATTGTCCGCTGATCATCGTGTCTTCGATGGAAAAGTTGGAGGTACCAAAACCGCTGTGGCTTTTTAAGCTTTTCTTACCTTCTTCTTTTGGTCTCGTCATGTCTGATGGATATGGACCTTCTCTAATGTCTTGATCTTATCGAGTCATGGTTTTCGTAAAACTGGCATGATTTTCATCCATATTAAGTTTTATAGTTATTGTTGAAAAAAGTGGAAATATAGGTGTCATTGGTAAGTTTCTTTGATGATAATTGACATATACTCTATTTTCTAAGATGGGAGGTTTAAATCCCCGAGTTCTATTATGGTCTGTTCAATCTTTTTTCATGATCAATTGCTAGGTCGAATGAGGCATAGAAGCCCCTTCGGTTTGGATTTGCTCAATTGTTTACAAACAAAAATCGACCCATATCATCAAAGGCGACAACTAACGTGCTTGTTTTGCAGGTGAATTCCTCACAGCTTTACAAGCAAATTTCAGCAATATCCAAAGACTGCTATTGTAACGTGCTTTCATGGAGATCAGAGGGATTTCTGAAACCTTCTAATTTATTTCACAAAATGTGAGAAAGTATCATCTCCCATTGATTTTGGGATTGAATATAGTGATGCAGCTTTTGCCCTCTTTTCAACCTCAAAAGTTTTGGTGGTTCACACGGTTGGAACTGAACTGTCTTCAACACAGCCAAACTTCGAGGTGCCATTTAATTAAGCAACCTTTTCCATGATGACCCAAAGTCCTCTGTCAAGGAATCATGGACTACTCGTCTTTGAGTGTCATTTTTTTTCTAATAATGGCTTCTTTCTTCTGAAAATTTTGAATAATTTTTTGGTGCTCTTGTGGTGCGATCTGTCAGCCCCCAAACTCCTTTCTATTTCGAGAAAATAAATGAAATTGGCTATCAATTGGCATCAATGGTTTTTAACCCAGTGTCGAGAACATATCCCCGTTTAGCTTTAAAAACCATAAGAATGAAGTTAAATTATAAGAGATATCCTTAACTTTTAACTTTCAGTCATCTGTCAAGGAATCAGACTACTTTTGTCTGAATTAAGTTAGAAAAACGACATTTATAAACAATGTTTAACTTCTAACAATTTTTTAGACGAAGGCAATGTCGAACGGTAAAGGGAAAAAAAACCATTTTCTTAACTAAAGGTCTGAGAGGGTCAAGTATGTTTTCAACTAGACAGATAAAAACCCCTCGTCGAGATGGCCTGACCTTCTAACATCTCAATACGCATTTAAAACACCGAATAGAAAATTCGGATCTGCTCTAAATAAATACGAGATAATGATTCTGGAAAACAATAGTTTGGACAAGAACTTGAGTTCCATTACAATCATTCACATTCTGGATTCAAGGTAGAATTTGGTTTGAAAGCAAGTGGTTCATACCATCGAGGCCCAAAACCAGCAGCTTTTCTTGCCACTTCGTTGAAAGGTGGCTTCAATGGCCCCCTGAAGTAGTTTCTCACAATTGCATGAAATTTGTGAATTATTTCTTCGTTCTCCATTTCCAATGATGCATTATCCTCAGCCCCATCTTGATGTAGCAGCAGCAAGCCATCCCCATCCAACGTCTGTTTTCCAGATCTCTGGGAAAGATATTTGAACCATTTAAGTCCAGCAGCACAATGGGTTACTTCTTCTGGGTACACTACTTTCTCCAACAAATCTGCAGTCTCATTATCACCTCCATTTCGGAATCGAGAGATGGTGGTGGGAAGCACATCCAGCCCTCGAGCCTGTTCATACAATTTATTCAAGAGCGGATTTTATCAAAATATCACATAATATTTTCGGTACTATATATAAATGTACAGTTCTAAGAGCTTCAAAATTATAGGCTTGCAAGAGATGATATATTTCCCTAGTAACACTTTTTTCAAACAGATGTTTTTAGTGTTCCTTCCAAATACATTTTAAATGTCTATTAGGGACGAACACTTGCTCATATTTAATCAGTCATCATCAAAATAAATCTATACAAATGAATAAATATAATAAGTTAGTTCTAGGTTTGAACGTTATTTTAATCCCCCAAATATCAAATTTTGTTCTTGGCAAATATTTTACTTTAGTGATTTTGGTTCTTCAATTTCACGTAAAGATGTATATTAGTAATTTAGTTAAAGATTTTCATGTTGTAGACAGTTCTTAACCTCTTTTGCTAACTCTACCATCAAATTAGAAAATAGATAAAAAGGACAACTTTATAAACAAAGTGGAAAAATTAAATAAAACGAAAACTACAATGAAAAGATCATCACAACGCATGTAAATAAAATTTCAACCTCAATTCTATCACCAGATCTTAGACATTGATTGACGTAGAAAGCTTGTTAATTGAAGATAAATGGAACTTAATCTATATCCTCATCACTAGCAAACACTTGATGAAGCTCATTCTCGTTAATTCCATATCATCAACTAAATAAATCATGAACGCACCTCATGGACGCAATGCTCAATAGCCAAGCGTGCTAATAAATCCCTGGAAGTAGCAATAGCAGAATCCCAAAGGCCGTCGTGAGCGGGTAGTGCTCCATAGAAAGAGCCCAGTTCCTTAAGTCGTGCAGCAAGAAGAGTAAAATGTCTACCTTCATCCTGGGCTACCCTAACAAAATCAGTGAAGAATTCCCTTGGCATCTCTTCTTGTTTCCCAAAACGAGCTATTATGTCCTACAGAGTATTAAAACGTTAAAATTTAGCCGAGTCAACACTGCAAGAAAAAATAACTTGATGGATCCATGAACATATAGGTGAAGAACTAGTAGAAGTCAATGTTAGTGTCCCAGAAATGGATGTTTGCAAGGCAATCGTCTAATCCATGAAGAACTAAAAGATACGGCAAAAATTATATAAAACTAGTAGTTCTTGCAAAAATTAAATATGCATCAATCAAGTGATAAGAAGACAATTTGACTACCCAAGCATAACCCAACTAGTTATAGTATATGCTCTTAGCTTCAAGTTAGAAGCTTTCCACCCAATTGTTGATGAACTCAATGGATATTGTTTCTTGCAATTACCAGTCACTCCCTAAAGGCAATTAGGCGTAAATCTTGAAGAACAAGAGAATATCAGGAAGCCATAAAATAATCAAAAACTCATAATACAAGGGCCAAGCAAAAGTATGCACAAGTACAATAATTACCGGGGCAAAAATCAATTTATGCCCATATCAAATTTTACCTTTCAGTTTCTCAAATTACACCACAAACTTATATAAAGTGTTGTGATCTTAACCTAAATCTTATGCATCATTGAAATTTTTACCCTCTAATAAGTTTTTGGTCAAAAGATCATTACAAAATGTATACTACTACGTGTTCACTCATATTTCGTTGATCCACTTAATTTTATGTAAACCCTCAATTTTAATGATGATATTATACATATTTTTATATTGCTTTTTTCTTAATATTAGTGAGTGAATTAACGAACATAGATAAAAAAAAAATTACATCCTAAATTTTTTTAAGAGTGAAAATGGAACCAACATGCCCAAGGGGAATGCCAAATAGTGGAGCTATAGAATAAAAAAATTGACCAAGGGGAACGCCAAACGAGACTAAAAACACACATAGAAATACCGAATTAAGTATCATTTCAACTCTTAGATGGGCGAAAGAGAATCGATAACAACATTCAAGAAAGAACGGATTCTCTAACAATTCAGAGGGAGAGAATAAGAAATGAACAAAAAGAGCTTAGGGTTTACTAAAGCCTCCAAAATCAAACAGAGAAACATAAAATAACAATAGAATTTAATTAAAACCTACAATTCACTGATTCAAGATAAATCGTAATTGAAAATAAAGCGACAATGTACCCACGACAAATCGATAGCCCAACTTTCAGTGTGGACAAGACTATGCACAATAGCCTGCCGGCTCTGTAAGCTTCCCGCCTTCCCAAGCTTCGGCATGAGACTCGGCGACACCAACTTCACCTGAACCATTTCAGAAACCACTTCAACGCAGAGATTCTTCAAACCTTACACCATTACAATCAACATACAATGCAATTACATATATACACGAAGAGATGAGGAATAAAGTGGATTGTTACATCAGAGAGCCTGGCGGGGCGGTCGGGGACGGAGAGATCGGAGGAGGGATCGTAAGGGCGAGAAATCATGCCGTTGAGCCATCGAGAAGCTACCTTGTCGCCGAGTTCGGCCTTCTCGAAAGGATCGGAAGTGTTGAGGACTCGAAGGGCCGCTTCAACCAAGGTCTCGTCTGCCATCGTCTCGTTCTGCCTAAATTCCCGCCTCTTCTTCCATTGCCGCGACTTCAAGAATCTCCGTACAGAAGGGTATAGACAGTGAATGACGAAACGTGATGGGCTGAACTGGACTGGGCCTGATTTTGACCCATTTCCATGGTAGAATTTGTTCCTGGGCATGGGCCGAAATTTAGGAATAAAATGGGCCGAGTTGTATTTGTAAAGCCCACTCAAGTCGTTGGGTCTCTTTTTTTTTCTTTTTTTTTTTTTAAATTAAAAATAAAATTAGTATCTATTTTTCAAATGCCAAAAACAAAAAAAATAATAATTTTTTTTAATTTGATAGAAAAACAATAAAAGAAGTATTTATATGCTTAAAGCCAAAAATTAAAAAATTAAATAGTTATTATAGAAAACTTCATTTTAGGTGACAATTTTAAAAATATATAATTTTTTTTTTTTAATACAGAGTTAACATAATTAGTAATATAAATTTCAATTTATCAAATTTTATGAAAACCTAATAAAAATTCAACATAGAAGCTAATCTTTATAACTACATTTTTAACGAACTGATATCTTCAAAAGACTTGAACAACGTTTGAAAGAATGCTCTCAACATGGCTCAAAGCACTCATGTAACTATAAACACTTCTTTGTGGATTCAAACGTCAATGTTTGAGAGTACTCTCGACATGACCTAAAGCACTCATGTTACTATAAACACTTCTTTGTGGATCACGACATTTGAATTTGAATCAGAGTACATTGTTGAGAGTGCAACATCATCATGAAATTTTGTTTTTTTTTTTTTTTTTTTTTTTTTTTCTTGGTAAAATATTTGGCTTGAAAGTGCAAAAACCTACACGAAAAGAATATCAATACAAAACTAGTCATCTACTAAATAATCAATCAATCTTTTCTGTAACTTCTTTTCTAAAAGAAAATACAAATCAGTTGGGGAATTCAATAAAGAATGTAAAACTTTTTAGTTAAAAAAGAAAAGTATAATGTACAGAGCTTTTGAAGNTGAAAAACTCAGAAGCAATATAAGAACTTGAAAGGAATCATAATATTCTGTTGTCTGCCCTAGTTGGTGGATAATTGTGATGGTGCAATGATGAAATTCCAAGACCATATCTTCCTTCAGTGTTCCATCTTAAAGAAGGATGCTGATTCATTTCACCACTGAGACCACAACAAGTGGAAGGCAAGTAGCCAAGACTCAAGATTGAGACTTGTGATGCCCTATTTTCCATGCCTGAATTCCTAGAAAGGACCACATACCCAAGAATTTCGTGGATTCACTTTGTGGTTCGCCGTGGTATTATTGCCCAAATAAGAAATAAGAACAAATAAATTACGATAGTTTCAATCTATGGTGACCACCAACTTAAAGTTTAATACCCCACGAGCTATCTTGACAATCAAATATAGTTGAGTCAGACAACTATCTCATCAAAATAATCAATGTACGTGCAAGACGGCTCTAAGTTAAACCACCAAGATCAATGTGGTGGTACTATTATCGCCCAAATAAAAAATAACAAATAAATGATGAGTAAAAAACTAAGAGAGAATAGGTCTAATCTATAGTAACCACTAACTTAAAGTTTAATATCCTACGTGCTATCTTGACAGACAAATATAGTTGAGTCAGTCTCATTAGAATAATCAATGTACGTGTAAGATGGCTCGAAGTTAATCCACCAGGATCTTTCACAATCGAGTCACTAGAAGACTACATGTGGATAAGGATGAGAATTAAAGAGAGCACCAATAAATTGAAATATACCTAGAAATCAATGTCAGTCAAACACGCAATGAAATCCATGAGGAATGGCCACGGCAAGAATCAATGTTCCTGATAAATGGCAACCAAGCTGAAACTATTTAAGATCAAATAACAAAATTTACAACCATATATTGAATAAGAAAGGGAATGGATTATAAAAATTTGTGAAGAATTCTACTTGGAAGCATCGTGCTCGGTCTCGAGCGATTTTCTATATGTAATGGCAAGCCTATGTATAGTAGATATCTTACATACCTGGAAAATGTATTACTGATACATATACAACTTTCAAGGAGTGACGACTTAATAGTGGCAAACCATACTTTTACGAGGATGGGAGTAAAGCTCAATTGCACAAGCTGAATAACTCTATATAAAAGTAAAAGAATGTTAAAAAGCTCAAACCTATATTGTCGATAGCAACTTCTGGTATTGTAGTACTGATAATGTAACCAAGTAGCGACGGTTCTGGCTCTCTCTCTGGTGCTGCTTCCAATTGGTCGATGTCAGTCTTGTAGAGCTGAGGAGGCCTCCTGTCGTTGGACGACTATGCTGCAGTTTCAGTTACCAATACCAATAGAATAGAAAAGAATGTCACCCAACGATATCCAAATGTTCGTCATGTATTCTACTGCTGGCACACTCATTGAGAGCTTTCGCATTGTGTTCCCTACCAAACCTCCATAGGTAATTCAGACCGACAAGAAGTTCGGTAATGATCACTTCGGTCTTTTCTTGATTGGCAAAGAAAAGGGTTTGTACAAGAAGCATATTAGTTCTGGAAACAAAATTCTGTTGTTCGAAACTACGTTCAGATTGCCATCTAACCATGTTATGAGCCAGTGGAGCAAGCCATTCTAATATCCCAGCTATTGCGTCGTTCCACTCAACTGCAAGCCCGGTGTCATAGGTAGATGAAGCCAAGATCTTGGCATATGGCTTTAGGGCTGCCCTAAGGCTAGCTCGAACTTTAGCTGGCAGCATATTGTAGAGGTCATCTCTAGCATCCAGGCCAATCAAATGAGGAGATGCAGCAAGCTTCTCAATTACAATGATGACATTTGCATAGTGCAGAGCCAAAGCAGCTCCACCTAGAGTCTCGGGTGGGGCGTCCAACAATTGGCACTTGGTACCGAGCAACTCTCTGCAAGGGTTGGCTTTGTTGCAAGGATCAACTATCTTTCCAGTATCTTTGGCTCCATTGATAAGCTGTGAATGCTGCCCATTTGAACTAATGTGACAATTGGTGACCGTAGAACTAGGGCCAGACATCATGCATCCTTTAAAAGGTCCAACTTGAGTCAGTCTATTTGGCTTCTGATGAGATTTTTTCCCATTAAATAGGGAAGAGTAACCACCGGCAAACCAATTCTTATGATTGGTTTTATTGTTTATTCCAGAAACTGGACCTGATCTTACCGTTGAACTTGTGAGAGGACCCGAATAAGAGTTGAAGTTTCTATTTGTTCCAGAAACAGGGCCGAAAATAGGACCTGATTTTGTAACAGAGCTGCCAAGAGGACCTGAATAAAAATTATTCGGCTTAGCTGTTTTCGAAATCGGCCCAGATTTAGTTGTAAACCTCTTCAGAGGACCTGATGCAAATTTAGTAAGTCCGTTCTCAGAGGGATGGACCATGGATTGCATTAGTGACGAAACTGATTGACTACGTGCTATATAGTCGGAATTCATATCTCGTGAATCATTTGTTTCATCAATCCCTGCGCTCTGCTCGATTCCAAACACATGTTTGATCCTACTGAATATTGTGAATATGGATCTAGCTAGAAGAAGAATTGTGTAATCATAGGTCCTTCTCCAAAGTGACATCTCTCGCAGATTTTTCACTTCCTGCTGCTTCCATTCGACCTTCTTTCGAAAATCAGCTAGGTTCACTGAACATGTGCCATCGTTAACCTTCATCCTCCTGAAAGTTTGCTCGAGTTCTACAAGCATCTCCATTTCCTGATACAAGTTTGCATTGACTGAAATAAAGGTCTCCATCTTTTTCACTTTCTTTTCCATCTTCTTCCATGAGTATATCCAACAATAGGGATCAGCACCAATTTGAAGTAACTCATCAAAAACATGCTCAAAGACTTTTAAACTAGGATCACTGCATTTCTTCCCAAGCCTGGCAACAGATTTAGCCACATGAGCTAAATTCTCCGTTATCTCTGCGCATATTAAACGTACAATATATTCATCATCGTCCGACACAAGCTTCTTTATGCCCAATGAATTAGTTATATCTTCCCTCAACCTCCTAATTTGCTTATCGCTCAAAGAATGCCATAGATGAACCAACCTGGACATCAAGCTAGCAATTTCAAATGCCAATACTCCAATAACAACCTTCTGCGTGCTGGAATCACGCTTTCTCTGAGGCTTCCACAGACTGCGAAACCAAGATTCTGAAACCATCTTTCCCCAATTTTAAAATTAAGATGTTTTAAGATGCTCACAACCACATCCCTTATTCTGTAGGGGAAGAAGAAAACCATAAACATTAATTAACATAATAGAAATTTATAGTACAAAAACTTCAGTAGCAGAACGAGAGGATCATCCATCAACCTAGGAATTTCCTCCGACCGCAAATTCATAAGATACAATCCAGAAGACGATGTTCAAAGTCTGTTAGACCAAGACACAAAAACTACAAACAGTACCAATCACGCTCAAAGTCATAAGCAAGCACAAAATTGCAAAATCGATGAAATAACAAATCAAATTAAGATTCCATATCATAAAAAGGTTCATTCCACTAACTCGACCGATCATATCAAAATTCTCCAAGCTTTCCTCCCCCTTTTAGCCTCATTAAAAAGCGAAAACCCCAATGAAAGAAGAAGAAGTAACTCATAACATTCCAATTCCTATTGGATCTTTACCAGATTTCCACAGCCACCAAACTGCAATTCACAATTTCACAATTAAAAAAAAAAAAAAAAAAAAAAAAAAAAAAAAAAAAAAAAAAA